TAAATAAATTATTTTAAAAATATTTAAAATTATTATAAATAATTTTAATTATTAAATAAAATTGCAGGAAAATTTGCATGCAAAATGCTTGAAGGAATAAAAAAATATAAAAAATATAATCTTTAAATTACCTTATATAAAAATGTTAAATTATATAATAAATTATGTAACATACATTACATTTATACGTCACATTAAATTTTATTTTTAATTAGAGAAGTTTATATAATATAAATATTGATCACTTAACCAAATAGATTAATTTTCAAAAATGTCTAAATTTTTAACTCAGCTTATTAATATATGATTAAAATTGATTTTCAAATGTATATAATTTTCAAACTTACTAAAATAAATTACTAAATAATGTAATTTTCTGATTCATCTAATGTGATATAATATTGTAATTTCAGATATATTGTATTTTGTATTTTTAGCATAGCTTACTAATAAATAAACTTATTGTGATTAAATTAATTTTAAATATAATATACTATTTCTGATTGTATTAGATATTTGTTATTTATATTTATAATAATCAAGTTGATTTAGATATTTAACCTGACTCTTAATTTAAAAAATCCATTAAGTTATTAAAATTTTAATGGAAAAAGTTAAAAAAAAAGAATTAGAATTAATATTACAAAAAAATAAATTTTATATGAAACTTATTTTATTTTCAGTATTAATATTATCCTTAAAAATTTAAGTCAAATCTGAGTTAAAAAATAATCAGGTTGAGTTGAATTTGAGTCAAATAATAATCAAGTTAAATTAAATTTGGGTTCTATATCCTTATAGAGCATTAATATTTTGTTTTATAATTTAATAAAAAAATAAAAACTTATTCTTAATCATTTAATATATAATATTAATTGATTTATTATTGTAATCACATTAGTCTAATATTCTGAATCCTGAATAATAAATCTAATAAACCTAATGCATCACACTGGCAATAACTAGTTGAATAATAAAATAATAAGATAATTAATAATTAACAATAAATGAAGTTATAAATATGAAATCTAAAATGTTAAAATAACAAAAGTGAAAATATTGTGAAAAGGTTAAAAAAAGGATTTTAAGGTATATATATACAAAATATAATAAGGTAAAAGTAGAAATGTTAAGTTATTTAAGGATTTCTAGCTCATATTTATAAAATAATAATTATTAGGCCAGCCTGAGGTCTTGTATTTTATTATATTAGCATTTTAATATCCTAACAAATAATCTTTAAAAGACTAACTGCAAATATTAAATATCAAAAGTGATTTACATATGAAATTATAGAGTTTAAACGAAATTATATTCAGTATAATAGGCCTTCTTTAATTTACGAGCTCATGCGAGTGCAACAGTAGTTTAAGCTCTTATTGCTTTTACTTTCTGATTTTTGATATTACAGCTAATTTCAAAAGTTACGGGACAGATGATCATTTTGCAGATTGATAAAAGACTCAGTAAATTTCAGTACAGAATTTTTGAAAAAAATTATTGCTACGTTCAGATCAGTGTTTTGACATAATTTTTACTTATATAAATGTAGTTGGCTTTTTCAAATCCTTATAAATTTCTCGGAAAAGTCTCAGATATTATTAGTTGTTCTATGACTTATAAAATTAGCTGTAAATTAGCTGCATACTTATAAAAGTCACTTTCTTTCATTTTGGTTAGGTGTGTTAGTCGCATGTATTGAATAGTATATAAACTAAAGATTCCTCTTAGAAAATAATTCATATATTTGTCACATAATTCACTTTAATTCTCTATACTTTTATACTGAAAGGTATTGTTAAAGAAACTCTTTATCCTCAGAGATCTGTCCTCTTATTATTATAATTATTATAATAATTTATAAAGAGGTTAAGTAATGGGATTATAATTTTCTAATTTCTCAAATCACAAGGTATCAAAATAATAAAATAAGGAATAACTGGATTGCTGATGGTACATTTCTCGATTTGACTTATGAAAACAAAAAATTCATCTTATGATCTTGTTGAAAGTATAACAAAGTGCATCAACGAATTCAATGAAAAGGATATATTGCCCAAATTTATTCTAAATAATCAAAAAAAAATTACCTGAAAGGTGATTAAACAAAAGATTAAAATATAAACAAATCCTTCAATATGCAATGATTTTTCTTGAAGAGAATTAACATTTGCTTGGATTTAACGAAAACGTTTTATAAATGCTTTTTAGGTTAAAAATTTATGTAATTTTTTTAGCCATTTGAGTTCTCTATCAATCAATTAATTCCTTTCAAAAAGACATTATCAGTTCAAGAGCTTGATTTTTCAATGACAATTGCTACTTCATATGTCGATTGCTCGGTTCATTTCAGATAATGTCAGTAAATTAATGACGTCACGACCTCTTAAAATCGCATGTCAGAAATCTGTGCCAGGTTTGTGGCGCAGTTCATAATTAAATGTGGCTGGTGCTATGGATGTGATGGTTAACTGCCACTTGATCACGTGATTGTCGTGACGCATTTTTTATATTTATTTCAGCGACTTAGTTTCTTTGAGTGGTCTAAATCCTATTCGCACATGTTATTTGTCATCGCTGCGCCACAAACCTGGCACAGATGCCTTAAATTCATATATTTTATAGTTTAACATGTTAAAAACGTCAATTTGTTCCGACAAAAAATATTATTAAGGATCTAAATCTTTGAATTTGAATGCGTATTAAACAAATAAAACGTGTTTTTACAAAATTAAATCGCAAAGAAAGATTTCAATGGATCCTTGAGTAGTGAGAATAGAAACTTGGTAATGGTAAATCCTAAAAACCTGACACAATTAAAAAATCGCTAATAGATTGCAACCTTGGAGAACCTGGTAAAATAAAAACTCGGTAACGTAACGGTGAATTGTATACCTAGTAACATAATGAAATTAAAACTCGAAACTGTCAATATTTGTGGAACAGAAAATTTGATAATGGAATACTTCATCTGTGTTTGAGAACGCAATTGGAATTCATAAGGTAAATGATTATTTTTTTTTTTATTTACCAAAATATTGATTTTTATTATTCTCTGGGAAGTTTTAGACAGAACAGAAAACAAATGAAAATGAAAAAGGTTTGCCTCCTGCATAACACTGCTCCTTTTGTGTACTATTAACCTTGATATTAATATTATAAATTCGAACGTGGTTTATTAATTATCCTTCCCAATTTGCATTAAAAGCAACCCTACAGTAAACATCTAAAATTGTCCATACGAAATATATTTTTTTATACTTTTGAAACTACAGTAAAAATTAAACCCAGTAAAAAAAAAAAAAAATATTACAAAATAATAAGAGAAACGGTCATGGTCTTAGAGATGTATTTATTGGACTAACATGAATCTTTGACTAAATTATAAAAAAAGGGAAATGTTAGTAAAAATTAATAAATTTTTTTTAAAGGACAGAGAAATAAGCAAGATATTTACGTGTAACAAGTACAATGTGGACCTTCGCTGGTTAAACCCCAAGTACGTAATAAAATACTTTGAGGTAATTTGGCACCAGGTGGAGCTTCAAACTTAACCTGTGCCGATACGGCGGTTAAGCTTTCGGTATACTTAATGTCACCAGTCCATACCTCTTTCCAGAATGCAACATTATCCCCTACCGGTTCACCAAAACATTTCACAATTTATTACGGCATTTACTTTGGATGCTCCTTTTGACCATGTCACTGTTATAGTCTCTCCATTTTTGACTTGAACAAATGCGTTGTCGAATTTAAAACCTTCGCACAATTTTTTTATGTCGGAGTTGTCGGAGCCTATCAATTTAAGAGAAGAAAGAAACGGAATTCAATCAGCTTTGTGATTTGGCAACGCAAGCACATTTTATGATACTTACCATTAGTGTCGGTATTATTGGCAGCATCGTCCCTTTTGAAAATATTTGAAGAGCTTACACTCTCAAAGGATCCAACTAAGGTTACCAAAAACAAGGCGAGAGCGAATAAATTTATATGTTTGTTTGAGAAAATCATTATCAATTAAAAATAAATCTTGTAAAAATATATTAAAAAAAAATTTTTTTTTTTTTTTTTATCTACAGAAATAATTTAGTAAGGACGAATTTTACACGCAAATTTATATAAACTTTTTTTTTTTCAAGCCATAAGACAAATCAGGTTAGCGCTACTATTGATCTTCATAAATTTGTTTTCGCATGAGTTTTTTTTTCGCCGTTGCCAAATATAGACGTCTAAATCAGGTTTAACTTATTCGTTTATTTTTATTCAGCACTCGCACATATCCTGATACATAAAAACATAAATAAGAATTAAAAAAATGTTGAACGGGCGTTCTTTCAACATTAAGAAATGTAAAATTAGTCACCAATGATAACTTGATTTTTAATTTTTTTTTTTTTTTTCGGGAATTTACAAATTAAATTACGGCATATGCGAACGGTTAGAAATGTTCTAACAATAGAAAAAAAAAAAAAAAAAAAAAGTAGGATCGTCCAATTATTATATTTAGGGATGAGGAAAATCTATTGAATGTGATGTAAGATGTGGTGAGATGTAAAACTACTTGAATAAATAAACAATGTTGTGATGGACAAAATATTTGTAAAAGGGAAAAAGGGACTCGCTTTTATTGTTTTCTTGTTTATCGAAAAGAAAAAAAGAAACCAATTTGTTTTTTCCCGTTTTATTGAAGGTTGTGTAACAAATATATTTCTCATCGAATTATTCTGACAAAGTTTTTGATTTGGCGTAAAACTATTATTACAAGTACATCTTTAGAAATTACCAATAATACGGTCATGTGATCCTCAGGAAGTGGTTTCATACATGTACAATTTGCATAAGTAACTTTTAATACATTTTCGAAAAAAAAAAGAAATTTTTTTTTTTTTTTTTGTGAACGGATGGAGAAAATCATGATTTAAACCATGCCAAGAAATTCTAAGCCAATAATAACATCCAAGCCCTTATAATCCCACTTTCCTCTAATTAAATTAATTAAATTGATATTTATTCAATTTACAAGCAAATTCATTATAATTTGTTATAATTGTTATGAGGAGGTGGGTATTTTTTTTTTCTTTTTTTTAGAAATAAAATACCTATTTTTCTTTTTATATTGGCCAGTAAGATAAATAAAATATTTCTACCACATTCTATATTACTATTTTTTAATCAATTTCTTTTTTTTAATTTAACGATAAAAAGTTAAATTCCAAATAAATATACTGTATGGGCTGTTTGTTTCTCAGACACTGACTAACTATTACTAGAAGTAAAACAGTTACACGGCAGTAAAAGGATTTGCCTATAAATTATTGAATTTAATGTTAATTTCTGCTCAAGTTAAACCCGTCATAGAAACCTAATCGGGATTTTCATCATTTAATTAGATCGGCGATAATGTGATAAATGTGATACATATCTTCAAAACGATTGTTTTTGATATATCTTTTAATATTTGTTTGTATAACAAGCATTATTTAGTTTCATCGTCGAAAAAAAGTAGTAATTAAAGGACAAACCAATAATTATAAGTTATTGTGCTTTGCAACGATTAATTTCAAAATTATTGTCCAATTCATAATGACGATCAGTTAGATTTAGCCACGTTAGTGGCTAAATCTGACTGATCATTACGAATTGGACAATAATTTTGAAATTAATCGTTGCAAAGCACAATAAATAACGATATTATCGTGTGATTTTATAATGTTGACTTTAAAATTATGAAGAGTAAGTTCATCATTCTCTTGGCGATAGGATGCGATCCTAATAGATGCCTAGCATAAAATTTATAGTAATTTAAAATCGAGTGGTCGTATATTAGATTCTTTTAAAAAAAATGTAAGACCCACTTTTTATGAACCACGAAAAAAAAAGTACTTTTTTGTGTTATAAAATTAATGCTACAATTTTATTTTAGACGAATTATACTTGTGAAAAACTTACTAGAAAGAAATCTTAACGAACTTATTAATATGTTTATAGAAGACGGATTGCTTTATTT